ACAAGCCGCGGTTATGTGGCAAGTTCGATTCAATTATCAGGAAAGAAATAGTCAGGACTCTTCCAAACTGCCGCAACGCTCGGTCGGGCATGTACGGCTCCACTATATCCATGAACTGTATCGTGCCGTAATACATACTCCGAGGATGTAAGTAATGTGCATCGGTACCATACGGGGTCCAACAAACCTAAGCATATTTTAAACTAATTAGAAAAATCCGTAACTCTACTATAGACATAATTAGAGAAATTATTACTCACATCTCTTTCGCTCATGGCGTCGAGTATTTTCCGGTATTCCTGCAGCGTGGTTTTATTGCCTCCACCATGGGCCCACCTTCTGCATCGAGGCTCAAACTCGGCATATGAACGGGAAAGAGGTGGTCGAAAGCAGGGGAAATGCTCAAAGATCCAGCACTGCAAACAAACACCAATGAATAAATAAATAAAATAGAAGTTTAAATAAATTAATAATTACTAATAAAGGTACACGTACCAAAAGGAGAATTACACATCCACAGAGACTGTTCATCCCAGCGCGGGTGGCAATACCCAATTGGCGGTACATGTTTGCTAAGCATGCCGAAGCCCACGAATACTTGCCGACATTATCGAGATCGTTGGTAAAATGGATCCACCACGGCTTTATGTTAGACGCTGTTTTGTCTACAAACAAAACAGACCCAAGCAGAAACATCAAGTAGCCCTTCATCTTCTTGTCGTCTGTGGCGCAGGGAAGCGTCAACTGATCTCTCACCTTAACCCAACCAACTCCCTTATTTCGAAACATCTCATTGGTGTCCATAAGACCGACACCCAATACAGATGCAAGACTCTGTGAGCACTCTTCTACCGGGCGAATTTCAGACACTGATGGTCCGTCCAGCCGCAACGCCAGGATGAAAGCGACATCGTGGAGCGTGATCGTCATCTCGCCCCATGGCATGTGGAAACTGTTCGTCTCCGGCTGCCACCTCTCCACGAAAGCTAGTATGAGGTTCTTGTTCATCTTCTTCAGAAAACAGTCTCGTAATTGGTAAAGACCTGTTGCCTCCAACCTCGCAATCATCGTGTTATCCTGCGGGCCGCGGTAGTCCTCCAGTGCTCTGGTCCTCGACTCGCACCGTGTAGTTTCACGGCGCTCCTGAAAAATATTGCATGTATTGTTACCTAAAAAAAATGAATAATATAAGAATTATGTAAAGCACGTGTTGACAGAAAAACTTACATATCCTTCCCAAATGTACATCGCTATATGCGACTTGAACCATCGCATAAACTCTAAATTTTGCGGCCCTCCCTCGCACGGACCCTCCAAGTACGCAGGACCAGGCAGCTGCGGAAAGGGTAAGGCACGACCACCTCTACGATCCTGAAATGCATCTGCTGGCCCATCATCTTCCTCCATCTCCTCGTCAGTATCCATATTATCGTCGTCGGCATGTGGCAATGTACAGGGTCCGGCTCCAGCTGCAACAGCTTCTCGTCTCAGTCTCTCTTCTTCCCGCTGTAACGCTGCTTCTCGAGCTAACTGCTTTCTTCTACGCGCGGAAGCAAGGACATCTCGGTCTCCAATGCGAT